GGCTTTCTCGCCCCGGAGCTCGCAGGCAGCGGGATCGCCAAGAGCGCAGCGGTCCCACCACCTCGACCTTCGGGGCGAGAAAAGCTGCTCCGGGTGCCCCTGGTCTGCTGGGGACCGTCTCCAGCAGACGAGGGACACTTGGAGCAAAGCCGGGGAGGCGGAGGGGTCCCGCGCCTCTGAGGCTTTACTCTGGCAAAGCCTCAGAAGCGCGGGAACCCGCCCGGTGCCTCTGGTCTGCTGGAGACGGTCTCCAGCAGACCAGGGGCACCGGAGCAGCTTACGAACGGGGCTTTCTCGCCCCGACCTTCGGGGCGAGAAAGCCCCGTTCGTAAGTGCGGATCCGACATAAGTCGAATCCGCGTAAGTCGGGGACTGCCTGTACTGTATGTAGTCCTGCCCCCAACTACTTAGGAAGACTAAGAAAACAGAGAGGCAACCAAAACCAAACAAGGATAGAAGACTAAGACATATGAGGAGAGACTGAAAGAGCTACATTTTTGATAATTATGTTAGATATAGGATAGACAGCAAACTAATCTGCCCCAGCTTTTTGAAATACTGGCTACTCTCTCTTCATTAAGGATGTACCAGGTATTAAGCTGATACAACACTTGGTAAGTTAAGGAGGAAGGAAATTCTTATCTTAAATGCACTATAGTTTAGAAAACAAAAAGGTGGAAAATGATCACAGCCAAGAAATATTTCAAGGTAACAGTGTAAATGAAAGGAATTAGTCACTGTCCCAGAGGATCATAGTGGATGTATCAATGGCCTGGAGCTGAAAAAAGAAAACATTATGGAAGACAAAGAAAATGTTACATTAGTAAGATAACTCATCAGTGGAGGTTCATGATGCACCGTACTTAATATCCCGGGCTTCATTTGCATCTTGCCGGGCGCCGCCATTTTTAAAGCCCCGGTAGTTCGGACTCCGTGCCCGTGGCTACACGCGGCACAGAGTAGGTAATTCGGATTAGGCTCTCTAATCCGTACTACTGGTACACCTCCTTCAGCCGAGCCCCCACTCACCGGGGTTCAGGGCAGAACGGGTAAGGGGGCCCGGGCCCTCCCTCTCCACCGGGCCCCGACCCGGGGCCCTATCAGCGGCGGGCGGCTCCCACCACTGGCTCAGGGGGGTTCCTCCCCGCAATGCGCTGAGACCTCCGGGGCCTTTCCAGCTTCCTGCCCTGGGTCACTTCCTACCCCCGGCCTCCGGCCTGTCGTGGTCCCACCTGTCGGCGTTGGTCGGGTGGTTGTAGCGGCAGCTTCCCCAGGCAGCGTCGGGGTTGGCAGTGTCCAGTCCGGTGCCTGGGTCACGGGGGGTCGGTCGGCGGCTCCGTCGTTGGGGCCGAGCCCGGCTGGGGCCTGGCAGCGGCGCCTTCAGCCCTCTTGGCAACTCCCTCTCCGGCAGTTGGGCGCTAGCTCCAGCTCGGGCCACAGTCTGCCCCTTCTGAGCAGGCCAGCAGCCTTTTATACCCTGGTTCCCCTCGGAGCATGCCCAGTAGGGCTGTGTGGGTGGGGCTCTCTCTGCCACTGGAACCAAGTGGTTTCCCTGGGCATGAGTGCAGGGCGGGGCAGCCCCTGTCACACAGCTCTTCAAGAATGGCTTAGAGAAGACAACAGAGGCAAAGATACAGGGAGCAATCTTCTAAAATACAGAGGTGGGGGGCACCAGCGCTGAAGGACTAAGAGGTTTTTATTTCTTCTTTCTGTGATTCTATCAAGATCACTAATAAAATGACAGACTGATGTCTGTGGATTGATAAGACGACTTTTATAGCTTATGAAAGGGGCTACAATGACGGGAGGTACAACATAGATTGGAGCCTTCTGAGGCCCCTAAGCCTGACCAAAAGGGACTGGCCTGTACAGGTGAATGGTTATTTCAACCTCCAGCCTCATTTATTTCCTATTTTGTGTGTTTTTTTTCCTTCAGCATCATTTGACTTATTTGCTAAAACTAACCGGAATATACAACATCAGCATATATAAGGTTACTAGTTACCTTGTACCCAGCATGCAAATGCCCTCTAACATCTTATAAACAGCTGGTCTCAAAATGTTTGGTGTAACTTGTTCATACCTTAACTACAAGGTACCAATTGCAACCTGCAAATGTTAATGTATGTACGTAATGTAATTGGACCTTAAAATATCTAACAGTACCTTAGGTAATTACTGTAACTGAATTCTTAGACATGATACAATGACTTTTTTTTCAAATGGTGCATTGTCACATTGTCTTGGACTTCAGACTGGAAGTAGCTTTCTCCCATGGCACATTTCCGACTTCCTTTAAAGTTTAATTCTTTCCATACAACTGCAAAAGAATTAATGCTCTATGGAATTTAATAAAAGTCATTTGAATAAGCTATTCATTATGCTCCATTCCTTTTACAACATCCCATTCAGAAACGTGCCAACAAAAACCTAAGTAATCAGAGATAAATAGTTTGTTAAAAACTACTGCATTTAAAGATTTCCCTTCCTTTTTTGCATGAATCCAAAATGCAGTATACTCCACAAACTTGAATAGCTTTCCACCTGGTCCAGTATTTGACAGATTTGCTTGAAGGATTTCATATATGAAGAACTGATTGTCACTATTACAACCAAAATGAGTTCTTCAAAATTCACAATTTTAGGAGAAAAACATAACTCTCTAGTCTTATCAAGGGTTTCCATTCTCACCATTTTGGAGATTTATGTTTTAAGAACCAAATCCAGGTCCCTGCAGTGAACTGTGGGTTTGTAGTTCAGTGGAGGGAGCAGGAGATGCAGAGCACAAGAGATCCACAGTTGCTCCACGAAGCATACCTCCGCTGACTTCCAACACTGCCAGCCAAATCTTGCTCTCATGAATGAACCCATTATCTGCTGGAAGGATGTATCTGTCCATATGAATGTGGGGGCCAGCTGTATTGAGTGCGTAAAGATGTGTATAATGAAAAGGTAAGCATCTGTTCCATCACAACTACTGACCCCAAACACAGAGATGGGATCACTGTGCTTCAATGTGGCTTCACACACATTGGATGCAACAGTTTTGGAATCAAATGGCAGAGAATGCAGCAGCAGAAGCTTTTTAATATGGAAGGTCAACATTAAGGAGATTTCCCTCTTTTATTAATATACCTGTCTACAAAGTCCATGTTCTTCCTTCTGAATTTAATTTTTGAAACAAGTACTTCACTGATCTGTAAAACTAAACCAATACCATCTCCCTGGTGCTCAAGTGCTAAAACGATAACAAACTATTCTGGGTACATACATGAGAGGGAAAATCTGTTCTGCTAACATCACAGAGGAATAGTGAGTAAGAAAGCAAATCAATTCCTGGTAGCTTTCTTCTATTTTTATCATCAGTATAAACCAACATCTTGGGTTCAAACGGTCCTGGAAAGTAAGAGTATTTGAAACCTGAACCCTGTTCTGGACCTAAAGAATGGCACCCATATTTCTAGTCAGCTGAACAGAAATCTTACATTTAAATAGCCCTCAAGATGGGGTGCGGGAGGAGTGAAATAAAATTTTTGTAGCTTGGGCTTGTGTCTTCTTTTAAATACCATATTCATAACGCCTACTACTCTGAGTGCTAGTGAAGATACTAAATTTGCCTTTACGACAGATGAAGTTGTGGGCTATGAGTGCAAAGAGGAATCATCACAGATCACAGGAGGAGAATAATTTAAACGTAAAGACTTCAGAGTGCTCCTGTTTACAAGACTGATTTTGTTAAATCAGGTATTAGAGAGCAAACTCAGCAAGAAAAAGCTCAAATTGCTAGCAAAACCACCTTGCTTCCATTCTGAATTTCTCTTTTTATTTGTAAAGACTGTCATTACAATTGAAAAGGACTCAAAATGGAGTGATGTACACATCATTGGTGCTTCATGATGGACCTGATGGAATCCCTGAATGGATATTGCTTCAGCTTTGATTTAAAAAAAAAAAAAAAAAAAGGTTTAACATGAAAATCTTTAACTCCACTATTGAAAAAGGAAAAAACAAGAAAAGAAAAAGAAGTAAAAACAAAATTACCATTAAGTTCATAACATATACATTGTTGGCTGATGATACGTTCCAAATGTACAATAAAGCCCACAACACTTTATTACTATGAGTATAATTATTGTGAATGTTTTTCTCATGTTATCAACTTGCTTCTGAAGGTTGTTGTTTTTTGTTTGTTGGTTTTAAACTTGCATAATAAACATGCAATGAAATATTTTTCAAAGTGTGTTTCAGTCTGTTTTCATACAAAGATTTCATAAAGTTGCAGTGTTGCATCAGAGCATTACCAAAATAAGAGCAACAGAAAAAGAAGGTAAATGTGAATGTAGCTTGATGAGAATAACCTACTCTTGTCCTGAGACACGCCACAGTCTTATTAAAAAGGTGTGCACAATCAAACCCCTCCCCCCACCAAAACACAAAATAAATATTAACTGGGAAGAAAGGGAGGGCACAAAAAAAGATAAGATGGCATCATGCACTCATCTGCTGCATAGCTCAACCCACATATAGTAAGGCACTATTTCCCCACAACTTAGTGTTCAAAACAATCCTTTACAGTGCTCTGTGAACTATATAGTCTCTTCCTGGATGATGAAATAAATAGATTGAATGAATGCCACTACCACATTACCCCATATGTGTTCTCACAGTCAAGGGATTTATCTGGCAGTCTCGTAAAATAATTGCCTCTGTGTGCGTGTGCATGTTATGTATGAGGATTTATGTGTGGGTGTATGTTTTTTTTCCCCATGAGTTGCTGTTTTACATTTTCATTGTTCTTTACTCCATTGTTCTGAAAGCAAATAAACAAGAAAAAACCCAGCACAGTCAGGTAATCAGAAACAGAGCTTTGGTGCTCCAAAAAGCACACAGCTTTGGAGAGTTGAGAAATCAGATATTCCCTAGAGAGTTGGGAAAAGGATGGACATATTTTCCGTGGCAATTTTCATTCGTATTTTAATTGAGCTGGTCTTCATACTGTTTTCGGAAGCAGTCACCAGCAGGGAAAAACTCCCAACACCGTTCTTGATACATTTTCCATACATATGATTCCTGCAAGACACGAGAGATTTGAATAATTAGTCTGATTCAGTGAGAGTATATTAGCCATCCCTCCGCCTTCCAAAAAGACTACCTGCTGCTCTACATGATGATTCAATTAAAAGCTGATCTACAGTGATGGAAAACACTAACAACGTCATTCATTTTTGTCTAGGTTTTTGGAGTTCTGTCACCTGGATGAAAATATTATAGAAACACTCACATATGTTAGGCTAGGGAGGAGTTTAAAGAGACTTTTGAAGAACTCAGGAATTTTGACCTTCTTTCTTGTGAAATAAAAAATGGAGACAATACACAACTACTAGTTTTGTTCTTTTATGTGCAGGAGCAAACTGAAGCTCAGGTACAGTTGCCTGCAATACCCCACTGCAGTTAAGGATTTGAGTTTTAATGATCCTTAAAGGAACCTCAGCTGAATTTCTTCATCAGCTATTTCAAACATGCCTGTGTTCAATACATGCAATAATACAGTGGGTTTAAGAATAACAAGTTTCTGGTAGAATCCATAAATAGGAGCAATCTTCCTTAATAGTAATTTTTTCCATTTGGGTGAGTTTTTGTATAAGTAAGTATATTGTTTCAAGCACTAATGGGCTGCATGTCAATGTAGATTATTCATTTTCAATTCCAAGTGGTTACCTATTTTACAAAAATAGAAGAAATTCAGACAACTGCTTGCCAGAAAGACGTCTTTATTACCACAAATGTTACAGACTTATATATACACACATATATATATATGTGAGCGCGTCCATTCTACAAATCCACTCTACAAATTCCCATTGAAATAGTGAAGATTTGTATTGAAATAGCACATCCACACTGATTGGAGCCTGAATCACATTTAAACCCCCCAGGAAGCACTCCAGGCAGGGCATCAGGACAGCATTCACTTCCTGTTGCTGCTTCCTGAAGCTATTTGAGGCTCAGCTTAAAGGGCCTCCCCTCTACATCTGTGTCTCAGACTCTTCCCCATTACCTACCTCCTTGAGGGACAGCAAACTCACACCGTGTGCTCTGGCTGCCCTTGAGGATGCCACAACATTTCAACCATGGAGCTGAATCTGCTACAAAGCAGTCACTGGATCTTAGACCTGCTGCACCTCCTGGCACAGTTTATGAAGGCTGCCCTCATGGCACTAGAGGACCACAATGACCAGCTCAGAATGGGGCTTCTCCTCACCCTGGCCTGAGTGTTCCTCATGCACTACAGTTCCTTCCATCCTCCCTTGCAGACCATGCACCGCCACTTCTGGTGCCGGGAGATCAGTGCCGACTGGTGGGACTACATTGTTGTGGAGTGGTGGGACGACCAACAGTGGCTCCAGAACTTCTGCATGCAGAAGGAAGCCTTCCTGCAGCTCTGCAAGTGGCTCGCCTCTCCCCTCTGGCAATAGGACACCCCCATGTGATGTGCCATCTCCCTCCAGAAGCGTGTTGCCATTGCACGTTGGAAGCTCAGCACACTGGACAGCTACTGTTCTGTGAGGAACCAGTTTGGTGTGGGGAGATGGACTGCCGGGGCTGTGCTCATACAGGTTTGACTCTTAGTATTTTACTAAGAAGGTGGTGGCAACCCAGTGATTCTATAGTTCTATGATTTTACAGGTGGTGAAGGCCATCAACACTGACCTGCTGTGGAGGGTCATCAGCCTGGGCGACGTGGAGCCCATCATTTCTGGCTTTGACACCATGGGCTTCCTCAATTGTGGGAGAGAGGGGGCTTTGATCGCACCCACATCCCCATCTTGGCCCTCAACTACTATGCCTTGGACTTCATCAATAGGAAGGTGTTCTTTTCCATGGTCCTGCAGGCCCTAATGCACCACAGGGGCTGGTTCATGAACATTTATGTTGGGTGGTTGGGGAAGGTGCACAACACCCGTATATTCAGGAAATCCAGCCTCTTCTAGAGGATGCATGCTGGCACATTTCTCCCCAACCACACCATCAGGGTTGGGGAGATGGACAAGCCTATCTTCATCTTGGGCAACACAGCCTACTCCTTGATCCCCTGGCTAATGAAGCTCTATATGGGACACCTGGACTCCATGAAAGAATGCTTCAACAACAGGCTCAGCAGGTACCCCATTGTTGTGAAGGGTGCCTTTGGCTGCTTGAAAGGGAGGTTCTGGAGTCTCCTCTCCTCTATTCAGTGACCAGAACACCCCCGAGGTGGTGGGTGGCCTGCTGTGTGCTTCACAACCTCTGTGAAATAAGAGGGAGACTTTCCTGCCAGGGAAATAAAAAAACAAACCCATTGTTGTGAAGGGTGCCTTTGGCTGCTTGAAAGGGAGGTTCTGGAGTCTCCTCTCCTCTATTCAGTGACCAGAACACCCCCGAGGTGGTGGGTGGCCTGCTGTGTGCTTCACAACCTCTGTGAAATAAGAGGGAGACTTTCCTGCCAGGGAAATAAAAAAACAAATTGAAAGAGCCAGACGAATACCTAGAAACCATCTACTTCAAGACAGACCCAAGAAAACCAACAATAGAACAGCACTTGTCATCACCTATAGCCCCCAACTTAAACCCGTCCAACTCATTATCAATAACCTACAACCTATACTGGAACAGGATACTACACTCAGAGAGGCTCTGGGAGACAGACCCTTAGTCTCCTATAGACAACCACCTAACCTCAGGATGATTCTTACCAACAACCACAGGACATAACACACTAATACCAATCCTGGAACTTTCCCTTGCAACAAACCCTATTGCCAGCTTTGTTCACATATTTACTCTGTTGACACCATCATTGGACCTAACCATGTCAGTTACAAGAACAAGACCACATATTCCTGTTCATCCAGAAATATAATTTATGCTATCATGTGCCAACAGTGTCTGTCTGCTATGTATATTGGACAAACTTCTCAGACACTTCACCAAAGAATTAATGCCCACAAATCAGACATCGGACAGTTTCACAAAGAAAAAACAGTTTCTTGTCATTTCAACCAGACTAGGCATTGTCTCAATGACCTCACTACATGTATCTTACTTCAAAGAGACTTTAACACCAGACTACAAAGAGAAACCTCAGAACTATCATTCATGCTTAAATTTGACACTTTACAATTGGGCCTTAACAAAGATGCTAACTACCTTACCCATTACAAAGATAGCTTCCACAACTATCACTCCTAATATCATTATCTCATAGACACTAACCTCTTCCCCCCACCACACACACACATACACACCCGCTCTGTTCTAAAATCTGATTTGTCAATTTTATGTGTGTTCACTTTTTTTTTAATTGTATCCCTTTGGTATATGTGGTCATGCCAATTTTCTTCCACAATTTAATCGGAGGAAGTGGGTCTGGCCCACAAAAGCTCATCACCTAATAAACCATCTTGTTAGTCTTTAAAGTGCTGCATAGTCCTGTCTTTTGTTTCAGCAAGACCAGACTAACACGACTACATCTCTATTACTATGCTGCTATCTGACAATGTGATTGGACAGAAAAGACAAAGGCAATTGTAACCAAATGATTCCTGCAGGAAAAATGTTGGGTATTGTTTTGTTGGACATTTATTTAAGTCCTTCGCTCATGAATAATCACTATAGGCCTTATGCTGTAGCCCAACTTTCACTGAACAGGCAAGATTACTAAAATAATGTACATAGTATATGGTTCTGTACAGGGAGCGCACTGAAAGCAAAGTAGCTGCTTTGTCAATGCTAAAAAGGATTATTTTACCATTATTCATAATGCAGTGAATCCAGTACGATCTGATCTGACGAGTCACTGCATGTGTGCAGCTTTAAGATGAACAAAAGAAACCAAGGCCCCAATCCTCACATCTGACTGAGATGTGTTTGGCATAGGACTTCAGGGGAAGTGGGCACAGTGGTGGCTTTATACAACTTTTGCCGTCTCCCAGTTCTTGGGCTAGCTGGGGACTGATTCAGCCCCTTCATGCACAAACAGCCTTACAGCTTATGACCACCTGCGATTGCTCTCAAAAAGCTGCTTGGGGCAACTAGGGATCATTGGTGTGCAAGTGTGCTCATAACATGCATGCTAACTCTGCATAAGATAGAGATTTCTATACTTAGACAAATCTTTGTATTAAGTCTCCTTATAATATAGAAACTTTGTATTAGTAAGTCTTATGGAAATGGTATAAGCTTCATAATGTCTTACAGAAACCTTGTATTAGCTTTATAATGTAGTCTTCTTATAATGTTTTATAGAAACTTTGTATTAAGCCTTTTTGTGATGATATAGTTCTTAGGAATAATGAAGGTAAAGACAATGTCTTTGTACTAGAAATAGAATAGGTCTTACCCAATTTACTTGAAAGTGGTTTTGTTCTTGATGAATGAGATGTGAACGGATGTACAGCCAATCAAGACTGACAGTCCATAAATAGATGTAACATGATGATAGTAGTTTTGTATACTGGTCAGATTTCAAAGAAAACAGGTGTAGAAGGCAAGCCCCTCCAAAGATTAACAGTGGCAACAGTTGAAAAGGGGAAGAATAGAAGCCAAACCCAAGGACACCAAGACACTATCAAGTGGGCTCATTGTGAAAGGATCAGACACATGGATGGCCTTGGGAGTCAGAAGCAAGCACCCTCTTTTGAAGCAGAATTGGAGTTAAAAGTAAACACCCTCTTTGAAGCTGAATGTAGCAGCATTGGGGATAACACCCAAAAGAAGGTGTGCCAGATCTAATTAAGAACTGACACAGTCAAAGTGCATAGATTTGCATGAGAGGGAAGCTCCTATAAACGTGGGGTGTCTTGCATGGGACCTGGGACTTGGCTTGTCAGCACTAGTGCATCAGTTCATACAGACAGAAACCTTGCTCCTTCTCTCCCCCCTATCTAACTCATCTGGCCAGTGAGTTAAGGGGAGGAACAATTTGGTAACTAAACAAAAATAAGACGGAGTGAGCATGTGTGTGTGTAAGACAGACAGACAGACAGACAGATACAGAGACACGGAGGCTGTGTCTAGACTACACCTCTCTGTTGGCAGAGAAATGTAGATTAGACACATCGAAATTGCAAATGAAGCAGGGATTTAAATATCCTGTGCTTCATTAGCATAAACATGGCTGCTGCTTTTTTTTTTCGAAATGGAGCTTTTTTGGAAAAAACGGCAGTGTAGACGCGGATCTGTCGAAAAATAAACCCTTTTTCGAAAGATCCTGTATTCCTCCAAAAAATGAGGATTACAGGATCTTTCGAAAAAGGGATTATTTTTCGACAGATCCACATCTAAACTGACTTTTTTTTCAAAAAAGCTACATTTCGGAATAAAGCGGTGGCCATGTTTATGCTAATGAAGTGTAGGATATTTAAATCCCTGCTTCATTAGCAATTTCGACATGCCTAATCTACATCTCTCTGTTGACAGAGAGGTGAAGTCTAGAAGTAAAGAAAGAAAGAAAGAAAGAAAGAAAGAAAGAAAGAAAGAAAGAAAGAAAGAAAGAAAAGATCTCACGCAATTCTTAAAGTACAACATCTATACCAAGGACGTTCCCCACTGTGCAAGTACACCAGCTTTCTTCCTGTACTGTAGTGTGTTGCCAGAACTCTGCAAAGCAGCTTTACTTATCCCAAGCATGTCACCAGTTTCCTGCCACTCAAACCATATTCCCACCTCTTTTAACAGACTGTATACTGTTGAAGGGGATCTAGTCTTTCCTGATGTATATATGGGTATGTCTACACTAGCCCCCTAGTTCGAACTAGGGAGGCTAATGTAGGCATTCAAAGTTGCAAATGAAGCACGGGACTTAAATATCCCGGGATTCATTTGCATCTTCCCGGGCACCACCATTTCTAAATGTCGCTTAGTCTGAACTCCATGCCCACGGCTACACGTGGCACGTGGAACGAGATGTACCAGTAGTTCGAATTAGAGATCCTAATTCGAACTACCTACTCCGTGTTGCATGTAACCGTGGGCACGGAGTTCGGACTAAGGGACATTTAAAAATGGCGGCACCCAGGAAGATGCAAATGAAGCCCGGGATATTTAAGTCCCGTGCTTCATTTGCAACTTCGAATGCCTACATTAGCCTCCCTAGTTTGAACTAGGGGGCTAGTGTAGACATACCCTATCTTATGCCAAATATACTTTAATCGCAACTGGTATACAGGCAGTCCCCGACTTACGCAC